TGATGAAGAAAATGAAAATGGGGAAGGGACAGACCAAGAACCAGAGAAGTTAAGAGAGAGAAAGAGGAGTTGAAAAGCTCATTTGGACAATAAGGGCAGAGAGGAAATCTTCTGAGAGCAAAACCAAATACAGCAAGATGAGAGGGACCAAGAAGGAGAGTTGGAAACGCCAGCAGAGCTTTATGTACCTCCAGCAGTGTTTTTAGGGAAGTGATACAGGTGACACTGACTTTTTGTACCCAGATACAATTTGGAATTGAGCTGGGACACAGGATGAAATTTAGAAGAGCATAAAATTGCTCTCTTCTTCAACTGAGACAAGTGATCTGTTTCTGATACGGGAGTTCTACCCCCAGGTGTACTGTGGGACAGCAAGAATGAATAATATATGTGATAGTATCAAAAACAAACAGAGTGCCAAAGCTGGCACTGGAATCAAATTGGGAGGGATGAATGGACATGGCTGAATTTGAGGCCTAGGGAAAAGCGTATGTGCAGAGCTACAGACTGCCTCAAATGAGAATGACTCTTGGCAAAGCAGAATCATCACAGAGTTTACAAGAGAAGTTAACTGGTATGGGCCATGCCACTTAACTTAAACCAGATAATGGGAGGTACTGCTAGAATAAGCCCTAAACTGAATCAACTGGAAAGGGGGATGGACTTTGGCAGTTACAGCGGGCAGGATGACGGAAATGATTTAATAATCTATAATACTGTAGAAATATGATTTAGATATTACTGTCTTATAATGCAAGAAAGATGGCATAATTAGCATGCAGAAGACACACTCGAAAAGAAAAATCTAAGTAACTTTTAGATAAAACACTGTTTTATTTTCCCCCCCAGAAATAAGCTTGTGACTAGCTTACAGAGATGGAAGTATTTTTCCACTGTGACAGGCTATTTCACGGTGACTGTTACTGTGTATCTTGCATCTTGTTCTGAATAAAGTGGGATCAGCCAAACTTGAAGCAAGGCATGGTGAAGCAATAGAGCCCTAGGTTGATCTAGTTTCATAGTTTCTACAACTGTTAAGGTGGGGAAGAGATAGTGGAAAATGAAAGAAAAGAGAGAAACATGTGGCTTTGGGGCTTTTTAAATGGAAAAGGAGAGCATCAAATTGACTGACACAAAAAAAAAAAAAAGAAGCAACTAAGAACTGTTTTCTGCTAGAGTGTTGATAAGATCAGCTGAGTAAGGGGGTTTTTACATAAAAGAGATGGAGCTGAAGCATTTACTAGCTAGTTATATATTGGGAAGGCTGCCAGGGAATGCGCTGTGTGAAGAAAAAAGGCAAAACAAGAGGAAAGATTTGGGCAAGTGAAGAATGAAATATTAGTAGAGAGCAACATATAGGATATAGGAAAAGCAGAAAACTACTTGAAAAACACCAAAAAGCACCCCCCTGCTACAGAGGCCTCCCTGTCAGACCCCACCACTACCAGAACCTAGCCACATAAATCCAATACACTATGACAGCCAACAAGGAGATCAGCTGCCCAAGTCCAACAAGGGGACCTCAACAGGATGCAAAGATCTGCCCCCAATCTCATGACTGAAATAGCTCCCTCCACTGTATCCCTTTTCAAATATGATTCTGTCTATGTTTTTCTCCTATAGTCCCACGATCTTCTCTTTCTCAGACATCAAAGCTGTATAAAGGGAGAAGAGTCAGTCCTCTGCGCTACAGAAACGGAGGCTGGGTAGCTGGAGGGTAATTGCTGATGTCGGGGTATACTGATACAGTAATAGCACATTTTCAGTGATGTGGGATAAACATCATACTGGACACTGCTATGTGACTGAGTAGAAAAACTGACATGGGACCTGATTTGCAGAACCGACTTGGAATCATTTGCATTTGGACTTGAAAGAAAAAAAAAGATAAACTCTCTTCTTTTTTTCTCCACATTGTCATTTTTGAAATATTTTTTAAAATATCTTCATCATGAATTCTAACTACTATTTCCAAAAGCATCTGATAACTTAAATCCCATGTAACTTTTAGCCAAAAGGCAATGATAAGCAGTGGGCAGTGAATCCCAAGAAAAGATTATATTGTAAAATGGTTTGTGGGGATGATATCTAGGAACAACTGTTTTCAGTAATGAATCTGTTAATTTGAGAGAAGATTTTGGAGAACAGCCAATCAGTCCAGAATTCTGGGAACCAGTAGCCTAGGATGGCCTAATCACCCAGAACTTTGTGTTTCTGGCCTTCTAAGTGAAAAGAACACTTAGAGTTGCAGGAAACCTTGCAAGGCAAGGCACCCCATGTGTGAAGATCTACAGAAAGAAAAGGACCTAAGGTCCCAACCTTCCTTTTTCCTCTGTAAACCGCCATTCTCCTTTCTGACTGTTTGGCATGAGGAAAAGTCTTACTTTGATAAAGTCAAAAGTAAATCTCACACACACCACATCCTACATCACTAGAGGGCTTACTAAAGGATGTTGTTTCACATTTCTATTTATCTGGAGAAACTGGACACATAGTAAGAAACAGCAGGCAGTCTTATGAAACTAATAAAAGAAAGTATCTTAACTCATGGTAGGGGGCAGGAAAAAAAAAAAAAAAGGGTCTTTATCTATCTGCTCAGAATGGTTCTTGTCAGATTCTTTGTTCTAAATAAAGAGCTAACAGCTGGTCCAGGAAGGACTCCAAAGGCTTCCATATGGTGAGGAGGAAGGCAATGCCCACACACTCTTCTACTAAAGTATAAGAAGGAAACTTGCTTCTCCTTCCTATCCACGACTTATTCTTCAGACTTAAGAAGAGCTCTCTGCAGAATCAACAATAGAAACCTGTTCCTGGGCTACTGCTTTTGTTCTGTACTTCACATAGGACACTGTAGTAACTCTGTATCAAAGTGTACTTCTGTTCTTCAGAAGGGAGAACATGCAGAGGAGAAGTCGTGGAAAGGAGTCCATGCAAAGGAACACCAGGGGACAACCTATACCAGCTGAATGTGGCTCCATCCAGACAGGACAGCAACATACTGCTAGCAGGAGAAGAGATCAAGAACGGTGATTAATCCAGAGGAGTTTACAAGAAACATGAGGATAAAAAATATCTTCTAACACTAAAGTTCATTATTTGGTTGTCTTTGACTGTTATAAGCTGCTCATGGAATCTCAGAAAGTAGATGATGGGAATGGTGTTTTGTGGTTTGATATACTACCATTATTTCAGTTATTCCTTAAAATAGTTACCATTTTCATCTATTCCCAGCTTCTGTAATAATGAAGCTGCAAGGAAGTATCAGCTTCCTTTGAATGCTACAAAAAGGGGAACATAGATTTTTTTTTTTTTTTTTTTTTTTTTTTTTTACCCCCAGTCCTAATTTCCATATTTTTTGAGTGCTTAAGACTACTACCTGATACTAAATTATTCACTGGCAGTTTACCTGGACTGTGAAGTAGTCATGCAGACAACAAATCTAAGTGCCATACAGAGCTGCTCTATGTTCATCTGAGCTTTCTATCTCAGGAGCAGTACTATACAAATGTAGTTATATCTCTTTCACCATGAGCAAGATATAAAAAGGCACACAAATTTTAATCATCCTAAACATTTAAACAAATAAAAAGCACTTAGCAATTTTAACTGCATTGTAAGTCTCCAGCACAATGAACTGTATTTTAATAAAGTTCTTTTGCATGAGCCCAATCACTTAATAAAAGAGGAATTTTAAGGTAACATATTGACAACCATTTATCATCCATTACATTTGCACTTGGCAGTAACCAGAATATTTGTACTCTCAGTGTCCCAGTAAAACTCTTATTTGAATAAATTCCAATCTAACTTTAAAATTGTGTCTGCAGCCAAAACTGGGTTCCACATTACACTTATTTTTTAGAGTACTAAGTGTGGTGCAGCAACGTTTTACACTGCTAGTATATCTCGAGTAGATGCATACTAAGACCAAGGAAGCACCAGCAGAACATTATACACAGAATTATATAACCAACATAAGCAGTTTAATCCAAGGGACTGTCTTAAGCTTGACATAGGAAGACAGTCATGACATTAAACTGGGTGTTGAGGCTTGGCCAGATTGTCCAATACCATTACTGGGGGATATATTCTACTTCCTTCTACCAGCATTTCACAGAAAATACCATGGCCCTCGGGCAGAGAGCACATTCAAGGTAATGATAACACCATTATGATTGCTTTTTTCTTACTAAACTAGGCTCCTAGGTCCCTGCTGCATGTTCCCTGTACAGGCTGCTGTCATTTCCCTCTTTTTTTTTTTTTTTTTAAAAATCACTGGTTCCAATAGCACTAGCAAAGGGGCCCAAAGTAATTAGGACCGTAGAGTGCATTAAGTCTAGGCTCAGCTCTGCTCCATGTGGCACCTTGCTTCTAACGCTGTTGCTTCTTGGTAAAGAAGTGGAACAACTAGATGGCTAGTTACAACTCTTCTTAATTTTGTATATGTAGCCTAACAGGCTGTCTCTGGTGGCAGCTTGAACTAAATCCTGAATGGAATTTCCAGCCATGTTCTTAGCACCAAAAAATGGTCATTCCAACCCTAGTCTGGGATGCTAAGTGTCAGAAAAGGCTGCCAGTAAATATTCCCTGTGAGAAGTGATTTAGTCTCCTAGCTCTGTGAACTTTTGGCAGATGACAAATACTCCTAATACAGAGAACCCACACAGAAGTGGCTCCCTAAAGGGTGGGGAAAAAGGGTCTCTCACCTTGGCAGGCTCATTCCTCATCAACAGGCTGGTAGCCAGCCTTGCAGGTGCATCGTCTAATGGCCACCATCCACTCCCCTTCTCCATTGCAGTGCAAACGAACACCTGGAGACCCAATCATGCTTGTCTCTTCAGCATTTGGTACACATGTCCCTGATGACTCCACCAGTGAGGTCCTCTCCCCTCCAGCAAAAGTTTCCGGGAAGGAGGCAAATCCTTTAATCACAGCTGGGCACTTGTAGAAATAGACTTGGACTGCCACTAGGGACATGCAGGCTCCCGAGTCCTGGAAGGCCAGGTAGAAGCCATGCTTGGTGAGTGGCCCAAAGCTACGTACTTTAACATTCATCTTTACCAGCTTCCCAGTGCTGTCCACCTGGGAAAAGCTTTCATCAGCTGCAATAGTATCCACTTTGTTCCAGGGGCCCTCATGCCACTCTGGCAGTTCCTGAGAGGCTGTATCAGCTTCTGACTGGTGGTGGTAGAGTGTGAAAGTCTCCTTGCAAGAAGAAGCCACAGTGCGCATGCTGGAACAATCTCTCATTGAGAAACGGACACGGACATGGATGCGGTGGGCTCCATGTCGCTCTATGAAGTGAGTACGCAACCAGTTATTCTGACCTGGTTCAGCCACGTTACAGACTTGAAAGGTTCGGATCAGGCGCTTCTTGTCATCCAGGACACTTACCTCATTCCACTATAATGGATACATGGTAAAGAAAAGCAAGAAGAAATAGTAAAAAAAAAATATGGATTCAGTGTTCAACTGCACAAAAAATATAGGACAGGCCTTCTTCTTCCCTTCCCTTCTCCTTGCCATGTCTGTGACAAGACTTGACATGAGCATCACAGCACTCTGAACAGTATGAAGTATGACCCTGTAAAGAAGAGCTGTTAAACCTTGCAGCTAAGAACTGCATGACAGAAAATATAATTCATGCAAACCTGTCACGTGGCATTAAGAATCTTAAAATCAGAGAATCACACTTTCTTCCCTCTTACTTCCCCATCTCTCAACTCCAGAGAAAAAGACACACAACACAAACGAGACAGAGAAAAAAGTCACTGTTCTTTGGAGAAAACATTAAAGCAAGTCCCTTGATCCCAGTTGGAGCTGTGCTCTGCCGTCTCTGATGCACACAAAACAACTCAGAATGGCCACTGCAGGGGCAGGTCCAGTATCTGTTTTGTGCCAGGAGGAAGGCATAAAGGAGAGATAGGGATGGGTGAAAGCAGGTTACTGCACAAAGCTGTAAAAGAATCCTCTCTTTACCCTCTCAACTAGCTTTACAGAACAGGTATGATTCCCTGGGGATGACAGAGGAAGCATATAATGAGATAGAAGGAACCTGCGCAAACACTCTTGCCAAGGTCAGATCGACCAACTCCTTGTAACAAGATCTACATTAAGACCAGTGTTGAGGAGAAACAAAAGCAAGTTAGGAACACTGGTGAGTCCCCTCTGTGCAAAACGAAAGCACCCATTTGCAGACTGGACCATCTTTTCAAGGAAGTTTTCTGCCTCCCTGAGACCCAGATTAGGGATGTCACTAGATGATGGAAGAGTTTAGTACAGCCTTCAGACTATTACCCACCCCTGTTCTCTCACATGGGTACTAATGATATTGCAACAAAAAGTCTAAGGTTGATCAAAAGAGATTCCAGGGCCCTGGGAAGAATGATAAAAAATTCAGGACCACAGGTATCATTTTCCTCAATCCTCCCAGTAATGGGGAGACACTTTGCAAGAAATAAACAATACCTGGCTTCAGGAATGGTGCCTCCGCCAAAACTTTTGGTTTTATGATCATGGAAGTGTCTTTGAGACCCAAAGTATAATGGGGCCTGATAGGATCCACGGGTCCTGATGGGGGAAACACATCTTTGCTCGTAAACTGGCAGGACTGACTTAGAGGGCTTTAATCTAGAATTCATGGGGCAAGGGAGTACCAACAGGAGAACTGAAGGTAAGCCAAGGGTTGGCATGGCATTGCCTAAGGATGGCAATGGTAGTGGGAAGATTTATGCTGCTCCTGGGAGCATCGAGCATATCTGAAATGCTTGTACATCAACATATGCAGTATGAGGAAAAAAAAATGGATGAGCTGGAAGCTTTGGTCAGTTCCCACAGCTACGATGTCATTGGTATTAGTGAGACTTGGTGGAATGAGTCCCACAGCTGGGAGTACTGGGATGTAGCACTACAGGCTGTTCAGAAGGAACAGACAGGGCAGGGGAGGTAGAGCAGCTGCACAGTACATAAGGGAGAGGTTTGATTGTACAGGCCTCACAGTTAGAAATGATGTGCTTGAGAGGCTCTGGGTGAGGATTAGGGGGATAAAAAACAGCTGTTGTAGTGTCTACTACTGATCGCGCAGACAGGATGTTAGCACTGATGAGTTATTCTATAGGCAATTAGGATAAATATCTGGATCAGTAGCCCTTGTCCTTATGGGAGATCTCAACTTCCCAGACATCAACTGGGAGTACCATACTGTGATGAGCAAGTCCGGGAAATACTTGGTTTGGGGAAGAAAACTTCTTGCCACAAGTCATTAGTGAGACAACTAGGAAAGATGCTCTCCTAAGACCTGCTGTTTGTGCATATGTCACGTCCCGCTCCAGCGAGGGGGACAAGTGACTCAGATTCGCAAATCCCCAATTGGAGTGGACAACAAGTCTCCAAGTTCAAGCATTTATTAACTACCTACAATGCACTAATTGAACACACGATAACTGGCTAAGTACAGAGCAAGCTGTGGCGAGCAATATAATGTGCTTTACATTTCTTAACAGAAAAAAGGAAAAGAGGGAGATAGAGGGAATGGGGGAGTACAGATCACCAGTCTGGGTTCCTGCGCTGCTCCTGCCGGCGAGGATTCCAGGAGGCAGCTATCTTCTTCGCTGGCATCCGTCGTCTTTGCTTCACTGCTCTCTCCAGACGGCCGGGGGCGGGGGGGGCAGGGCAGGAAGAGGGGCAGAGAGAGAGAGAGAGCCCTTTCTTCTCCCCTTTGATTTATACCCACTTTCCTTGGGTCCGTCCCCTAGGTCAACTCACAGACCTACGTATCCCATGTACAGGGAGGGGTAAGGTGTTCCATGGGATGATGTCACTAGCATGATCATGACAGCCCTCGTTAGCATATTGCGGGGTGTCAACTTTAATATGCATTTCGTGGATAATGAAGCAAAGTTCATTCACCGGACACATGGCCCTTGAAATCTGCCCAGGTGCCCCAGGGCAGAGCCGTCCCATCTCCACAGGGCTCTCTCCCCCAGATACATCAGGCAGTCTTATCAGCTTCGGCCTCCACAGAAAGCACCCTGTGACTCATAGTTTTGTCTTGGGAGTGTTTGAGGCAAATCTTCAATCAGCCTCAACTTTTGTTTTCCCAGGCTGTTTGTCTTAGTTTTTCACAGGCCTGGTTGCTCGGCTCTCACATCATAGAAAAGGACTTGTGAGAGATGTGATGGCAGGTGTCTGTCTTGGTCACAGTGATCACAGAATCACAGAATCATCTATGTTGGAAAAGACCTTGAAGATCATCCAGTCCAACCATTATCTCACACTGACCATTCCCAACTCCACCAGATCCCTCAGTGCTGGGTCAGCCCAACTCTTCAACCCCTCCAGGGATGGGTACTCCCCCCCTGCCCTGGGCAGCCCATTCCAACACCCAACAACCCCTTCTGCAAAGAAATACTTCCTAAGAGCCAGTCTGACCCTGCCCTGGCACAGCTTAAGGCCATTCCCTCTTGTCCTATTGCTTGTTCCTTCATTCAAGAGACTCATCCCCCCTCTCTGCATCATCTTTCAGGGAGTTGTAGAGGGTGATGAGGTCTCCCCTCAGCCTCCTCTTCTCCAGATTAAACCCCCCCAGTTCCCTCAGCCTCTCCCCATCAGACCTGTGCTCCAGACCCTGCACCAGCTCCGTTGCCCTTCTCTGGACACGCCTGAGTCATTCAATGGCCTTTTTGGAGTGAGGGGCTCAAAACTGAAGCCACTCATTGAGGTGTGGCCTCACCAGTTCTGAATACAGGGGTGAGATCCCTTCCCTGTCCCTGCTGGCCATGCTATTGCTGATACAAGCCAGGATGCCATTGGTCTTCTTGGCCACCTGGGCACACTGCTGGCTCATATTCAGCCGGCTGTCAATCACCCCCCCCAGGTCCCTCTCTGACTGGCAGCTCTCCAGCCAGTCCTCCCCAAGCCTGTAGCGCTGCTGGGGGTTGTTGTGGCCCAAGGGCAGCACCAGGCATTTGCCCTTATTGAAACTCCTTCAGTTGGCCTCAGCCCATCGGTCCAGCCTGTCCAGGTCTCTCTGCAGAGCCTCCCTACCCTCAAGCAGATCAACACTCCCACCCAACTTGTGCGGCGGGCGGAGGAAGCAAGCAGCCGATTCAATGTGAATGATAGAGCAAGCTTCCACTTTATTGAAAGAAATCACACCTTATATAAGCAGTCTACAATACACTACTTGCAACTCTATTGGATCCATTCAAGAAACTACATTATAATGTCTCAGCCATTGGGTACATTCAAAAGATCACATTATAATACACCAGCCCCTTGTGGCATTTCTGGTATGCATAAACATCTTCCTAGCTGTAAACCTGCTTCTCTCCCAGGGCTGCTTCCCTTCACCCCCCAAGGTCGTAATGCGCCCCAACTATCTCCTTGTTCTCACAACAGTCCTTGTTATCATCAATGTACGCTGGGTTTTTTCCTCTGTTTACCTCAGGTGGCTGGGACCGACTTCTGCAGGGAGCTATGGCCGACCAGCTCCTACAGGGAGCTATGGCCTTGCTCTCTGCAAGCCGTTCTCCAACAAACTTGGTGTCATCTGCAAACTGACTGAGGGTGCACATGATCCCCTCGTCCAGATCATCAATAAAGATGTTAAACAGGAGTGGCCCCAAAATCCAGCCCTGGGGGACATCCCTCATGACTGGCTGCCAACTGGATTTAATTCCATTCACCACAACTCTTCGAGCCCGGCCATCCAGCCAGTTTTTTACCCAGCAAAGCGTGTGCCCATCCAAGCCACAAGCAGCCAGTTTTGCCAGGAGAATGCGGTGTCACGGAATTGTTGAATTTAAAGTTTTCAGTGTAATGTGAAAAAAAAAGGAAAGCAGATTTTCTACCCTGGATTTCAAGAGAGCAAATTCTAAGCTACTCAGGGAGCAACTTAACAGTGTCCCCTGGGAATCTGCTGTCGATGGCCTAGGAGTCCATGAGTGCCCATCAGTTTTTAAGAATCTCCTTTTAGAAGCACAGGAGCAGGCAACTCCAGCATGTTGGAAGTCAAGTGAGGCAGAAGACCATCTTGGCTGAAGAGGAAGCTCCTCACAGAGCTCAAGAGGAAAAAAAAATTGTATGATCTCTGGAAGTACAGACAGGCTTTGCAGGAAGATTACAGAGCTGTGGTTCACATATTCAGGGAGGAGACATGAAAGGCCAAAGCTCAATTAGAGTTGAAACTGGACAGTGTTGTGTCTGAAAACAAGAAAGGCTTTTTAAAGTACATTAACAGCAAGAGGAGGTCTAAAGAAAACATGGGACTGATACTTCTTCAGTATGGTCCCTGCCATAGGAATAAAGAAAAGGCAGAGGCATCAACGCTTTTTTCCCTCAGTCTTTAATAACAGTGGTAGACCTTGGTCTGCCCAGCCCCAACTCAGAGAACCACAAATGCAGGAACAGTGATTTTCTATTTGTGGACACTGAAAATAGAAACCAGCTGTATCAGCTGAATGTTCAGAAGTCCATGGGACCTGATGGGATTCATCCAAGAATACTGAAAGAGCTAGTGGATGTTACAGAAGGACCCTTCTTCATCATCCACCAAATGTCTTGGGATTCTGGGGAGGTCCACACTCACTGGAAGTTAGTCAGTGTTATTCCAATCAACAAAAGGGGCATGAGGGAAGACCCAGGGAACTACAGGCTTGTTAGTCTAACCTCATTTCCTGGAAAAATTATGGAGAAGATCATACTGGGTACTACTGAAAGGCATTTAAAAAACAATGCAATCATCAGGCACAGTCAACAGGTGTTCACAAAGGGAAAGTCCTGTCTGACTAATTTGATATCCTTTTATGATAAGGTCACCTGCCTAGTGGATGAAGGGAAGGCGGTGGATGTAGATTTTTCTGTACTTTAGTAAGGTCATTGATACTGTCCCTCACAACACCCTTCTGGACAAATTATCCAGCTGTGAGATGAGCAGGTACATGGTGCGATGGGTGAAGAACTGGCTGGATAGTAGTGCTCAAAGAGTTGTAGTGAATGGGGCTACACCTGGCTGGTGACTGGTCATCAACGCTGTTCCTCAGGGCTCAATTCTAGGGCCAGTTCTGTTCAATATCTTTATCAGTGATCTGGATGCAGGACTTGAATGCACCATTAGCAAGTTTGCTGATGATACCAAACTGGGAAGTACTTTGACTCTCTTGAGGGACAAGAGGCCTTGTAGAGGGGTCTAGATAGACTGGAACACTGGGCAATCATCAATGGAATAAATTTTAACAAGACAAAATACTGGATTCTGCACCTACGATGGGGTAATGCCAGGCACAAGTACAAACTGAGAGAGGAGTTGCTGAAGAGCAGTCCTGCAGAAAGGGATCTGGGGGTGCTGGATGGCAGCTGGCTCAATCAAGGGATCTGGGGGTACTCAATATCAGCAGTGTGCTCTGCTAGCAAAGAGGGCAAACCACATCCTGGAGTGCATCAAGCACAACATGACCAGCTGGTCAAAGACGTGATTCAGCACTGGTGTGGCCTCACCTTGAGTGCTGGGTGCAGTTCTGGGTCCCACAATTTCAGAAGGATGTGAAGGTCCTTGAATGTGTCCAGAGAATGGCAACATAGCTGGTTAAAGGGCTGGAAGAAATGTCCTATGGAGAGTGGTTAAGAACTTTGGGCTCATTTAGTTTGGAGAAAAGGAGGCTGAGGGGTGACCTCATTGCTCTCTGCAGCTTCCTGAGGAGGGGAAGTGGACAGGGAGGTGCTGATCTCTTCTCCCTGGTATCCAGTGATAGGATGTGTGGGAATGGTTCAAAGCTACATCAGGGGAAGTTCAGACTTGACAGTAGGAAACATTACCAAGAGGGCAGCCAAACACTGGAACATGCTTCCTAAAGAGGTGGTTGATGGCCCACGTCTGTCAGTGTTGAAGGACAATGCCCTTAACATGCTTTAACTTTTGGTCAGCTGTGAAATGATCAGGCAGTTGTACTAGATGATCATTGTAGGTCCTTTCCAATGGAAATAATTCTAGTCTAGTCTAGTCTAGTCTAGTCTAGTCTAGTCTAGTCCAGCCTCGCCCCGCCTCACCTCGCCTCTCCTCGCCTAGCGTAGCCTAGCCTAGCCTAGCCAGTCTGTGAGTCTGTGTGGAGGGATGGCTGGACACCTCATGAGTATTTCTGAAGTAGGGTGGAAGGAAGAGGGTAAGGGGGTGGAGTAATATTCCACCCAGTAGCCTCCTCTCTTAACAATCTGTCTTTGCACAACATACTGTGTTCAAATTGTTCATATGTAGCAAATCCATAAAACAAGTCTCATTGGATCCCATTTCCCTTTCTTCATCAGATGCATGCATGCCTCCCCAGCAGAGGTGTGGTCAAGAAGAGGACAAGGGAAATGCTTACCCCATCAGAAGGGTGGGTAGTCCAGCCAATCTCTGAGGTTTCTCCAGTTGTATCCAAAAGTATTTCTGTTTATATTTTAAAAAATTAAGTTTAAAAAAAAAAGTATTTTGCGTTTTTACAAGTCAGGCTAGAATTTTATCTGTCCCTCATAAGATTGTCTCTGAAAATGCCTCAC